TATTTTGTGAACAATTTGAAACATTTATTTTTCTACTTGATTTCTCCAAAATTTTGAAACTATAAGTATTCTTATTTTGTGCCAATATAGTTATTTGCATAAGTTCAATAAGAATCTGTTTTTCTTTTATAACAGGACAGAATTAGAGATGCTGGTTATTTTACCAAGGCTTTGGCTCAAATGGCATATTTTTGGATATGTCCAGACTGCTTTGAGGATTTCAGTTGACTTTATAAAGCCAATAGAAAGCCCTCTGGAAAAAACTGGCCTGGTACCTCAACTATAACGTTTCCTGATCTGCGGTAAGTAAAGCATGTTACTTTCTGACAGGCCCAGGAACCCCAAGTTACATTGGGAGCTGAATAAAAGAGGAATTTACCCAACTCATACAGGTATCTATAGGCAGTTAAAGCCTTAGCTTGGCTCAAGAAACTTTAAGTCTGACCTAAGATTCCTTATGAAAAGAAAAAAATCCAGCAAATCCAATTTAAAAAAGTAGCCTATGGCCAATGATTATTGTTACTGCACTTAGGCAAATAATCAAGCCAAGTATAACGATATCAAAATTTATTTTACAAATAAATTGGCCCTAGTATGTTGCCTGTAGAAATATGGGAAAATGGAGAAAGAAAATTATGTCTCAAAAAATAAATAAATAAATAAACCATCATTAAATTCTAAACTTGTCCTTTAAAAAAATGTTTTTCTAGATTTTATAATATCTAAATATATACCAGTAGGGGAAACAGATGAAATAAATTATAAGAAAACCATAAGACTTCTTTTTTTGGAGACAGAGTCTTGCTCAGTCACCCTGGGTAGAATTCAGTGGTGTCCTCATAGCTTACAGCAACCTCAAACTCTCGGGCTCCAGCAATCCTCCTGTCTCAGCCTCCCAAGAAGCTGTGACAACAGACGTGCACCATGACACCCAGCTAATTTTTCAATTTTAATAGAGATGGAGTCTCAGTCTTACTCAGACTGGTCTTGAACTCCTGGGTTCAAGCAATCCTCTCACCTTGGCCTTCCAGAGTGCCAAGATTATAGGTGTGAGCCACCATGCCCAACCCACCATAAGACTTTCAATAGAACACTTAATTAAATTAAGAGATATAAAATTAAGTGGGGAAAACGTTTTAAAAAAATCATAAAATAGTATTACAAAAATATTTCAATTTTTGTTTGAGTAGATATAAAAAATTATAATTGCATATATGACTAAAAGAGTATACCCAAAATATTAACACAATAGACTTATGGTTATTTTCACATAATTCTTATGTAATTGGATAAAATTAATAAATATTAACTTTTTAAGAAACAAGATTCTGTGACTATACTGAATAGGATTATGGTAAGTATCTGTTTTTTGCTAAAGGCATGAACTCTCTTACTCAGTAAAATATGACCGATATACTAACTAGGATTTAGAACCACAGACTGAGTTTCACCTGTTTCACAAAGTTCCTCAATTCTAAACCTGTCTCTGCCTCCTTGGCAGTGATGAGGAGAGCATTCATCAGTTATTGCTGAAGCAATGTTTTAACATTTCCATGTGTTAAAAGTAGCTTGAAAGAGAATGTAAGTCCCTCAAGGTGAGTGACTCCACAGAACACCATCCCTGACTCTGAACCCTAAACACAGTATTAAGTGTTTCCTGAGTACATATCACACTTAACTAAATCAAATCCCAGAAGACTGTCCAACTAAAACTTTGAACCTAAATAAATTACATATGATTGCAATAGTTCCCTTTAGATATTTTATATATTCCCTTAAGTTCTGAACCAATATTAACTCCAGTCTTAACAATTGGTGGCTGGTTTCGGGGATATAGAAACAAAAAATTCCAGTTAATCACAGGCAGGTAAGAAGGTTCACTCAAAAAAAAAAACCTTAAAAATTAAGAGAAATGTTCATGTTCACTGCAGCATGATTCACAACAGCTAAAATATGGAAACAACCTAAGCGTCCATCAATGAATGAATGCATAAAGAAACTGTGGTACACACACACACATACACATATACATACAGTGAAATGTTATTCAGCCTTAAAAAAGGAGATCCTGCCATTTGCAACACGGATGAACTTGGAAAACATTAGTTAAGTGCAATAAGCCAGGCACAGAAAGAAAAATACTACATAGAACTCACTTATATTTGGAATTTTAAAAAGTCAAATTCATAGAAGCAGAGACTAGACAAAACGATAGTTACCAGTAGGAGGAGGGGGGCGAAATAGGGTGATGTTGGTTAAAGAGTACAAAGTTTCAGTAATGTAGGATAATAAGTTCTAGAGATCAAAATTACAGCAGGGGACTACGATTAATAATACAATATTGTATACTTGAAATTTGCTAAGAGAGATCTCAAGTGTTCTCACACACACACATACAGTAAAAAAGTGGTTTTTAAAAAAAGAATTATTGAACACTCACTATGTATCAGATACAAGAAATAAATTTATGAACAAAAAATTAAGAAAAGTGGTAAGAAAATAACATTAAATTTCTCAAGAAAATGAATGGCACTCTATAATTCCAGAGGCAAACACAACAGAAGCGACAGAAATGAGAAATTCCATAGGTCAGTCTGGGGCTCAGATAAATATGCCAGGGCAGTATCGAGCAGGACACGGGCTAAGCAGCAGCAACTCCAAAGGAGGCCTTTGCTATGGGCAGGCTGTGGCTAACCGAAACCCAAGTGGGCCCGTGTGAAAAGGGAATGACCAGAATACAGTCGTTAAGATGATTAAAGTCTTGGCCGGGCGCGGTGGCTCACGCCTGTAATCCTAGCTCTCTGGGAGGCCGAGGCGGGCGGATTGCTCGAGGTCAGGAGTTCGAAACCAGCCTGAGCAAGAGCGAGACCCCGTCTCTACTATAAATAGAAAGAAACTAATTGGCCAACTAATATATATAGAAAAAATTAGCCGGGCATGGTGGCACATGCCTGTAGTCCCAGCTACTTGGGAGGCTGAGACAGAAGGATCGCTTGAGCCCAGGAGTTTGAGGTTGCTGTGAGCTAGGCTTACGCCACGGCACTCACTCTAGCCTAGGCAACAAAGCAAGACTCTGTCTCAAAAAAAAAAAAAAAAAAAAAAAGATGATTAAAGTCTTGATAATCAGAAACTTTGAGGAGAAAATGAACAGCATTATTCAACTTAGAAAAGGATTATGGTAACTAGACATTCTCTCCCCACAGAGAAGAATTCCCCTCTGTGGGAGTTTCACAGGTTTAAAAATCAGCCCCAGGGTCTCTCACTTACACAAAAGGAAAATTTCCCAAGAGGCAGGCTTGTGAACAACCGCAATGAAGGCTATGCAAAGGGCGACAGAAGGGGAGAGAGATGACTGTGGTAGGTGACAACTCTAAGATGGGAAGGGTTGGGGAAAGGAACAGGTACCAGTATTATCTCAGGGTCCCTTCCATCCTTATAATTCAATGATTTTTAAAGAACATATTGTACAGCAGAGGTTTATAAAACCAAGAGAACATAGATGATAAAAAAAATTACACTATTGAGAAGAGGGAAGGCAGAAAAATTTCATTCCTCCTTTTTATACCTATGATATTACCTAATTAAAAGTCTTTCCATCCTGTCCAGTAATTGGGCTAATCGATACACCTTAAAGGTTAGGGAAAAAAGAGTAGCTTTTGACATATTTAATAGCTATCCCTTCACTAAATGGCCTTATCTAGATAACTATGCTGTTTTAATTCTTAAACCTATCTCTCACTTCTCAATGCCATCAGTATATCTGTCTCCAGACATCTACTCCCTCATTTCATTCCCTGAACATCAAGAAATCAGATCAACTGGCTTATAAGAATTGTTTGCAAACTAACAATAAATAGGCAATGAAAAAAGTATTCAGGCAGCTGTCTAAAGAATAAAAGAGCCAGAAGTCCCTTGAATGGTCTGTTTTAGTGGCTTTTCAAGCCTTTTCTTTTCTTCCCCAATTCCTTCCTAGTACTTGACCATATTCCAGAGACATGAAGTTGCTGGATTATTTAAATAATATAGTTAATGTATATAATGTTCCATAGTGGAATTCTGAGATGTAAATGTAACTAAATATATTTCTCAACGTACAGATTGATTCTTTTTTTTTTCCATACAGGGCTTGGCCTGCTGGACCAGGAGCCTGAGCAGACTGCACCTCCTGCTTGATTCTTAAACTTATTGTTGCCTCTGCTATTAACCTTCTCTTATTTATTAATAATATTATAGTAAAAGCTATCAATTATGGCACTCCTTTGTGGACTGACTTTATGGAAATCCAGACACCAGGATAGGCACTTTATGTGTATTATTTATAATCCTACCACAATCGTGTATGGAATGAATAGAATAATCATCATTTCCCAAATAAGAAAACAGGTGAAAAAGAAGAATTAAGTAATAACTACCCCAAGATCCCACACCCAGGAAGTACTGCAGCTGGGTTTTAAATCTGGGTGGATCTGACTCTAAACCTCACCCTCTTTCTACTCTGCAAACATTTTCTCATCATGTTGCATCTACTAGATATCAACTCTTTGAGAATATTGCATTTCATTTCTCTAATAAACATTAGAATGTTTCTTTATTGTTATAATTCAGGTCTCTCAATCAAACTTAATATGCTTCTGAGTTATCCAAAGAGGTTACAGTAATTAATACCTGATCTAAAAAAACCCATAATGTTTGCTTCTTAAAATTTAATGACTATGTTATGACGATATAGCTTTTTGCTAATTTTACATAGGTCTACTCCATAGCACATTTGAAGGGAATGAGAGCAACCCATCTGATCAAGCTGTTAGACCCTTAGGTCAGGAACAAGTTCTTATTCAAAGGCTATATGGGGTTGACATCCAGCACTTGATTGTTAATGAAAGACAGAATCAGTGATTATCAACTTCCGAAATATTTTAAGGTACCTGAAACATTTTTTAACAGAAAAAGGACTTCATGTTTCAAAATAAATGTTTTTGGTCTGCAGATAAACTTCCTACCTCTCTATCCTTGAGTTTCATGGAGAGCACCAACTGATGCCTGTGGTTAGTGAGAGCTTCTCGGTAATTTCCTTTGGAGAAGAATGCAGAGCCCAGATTCCCATGAGCTCGGCATTCTCCTATCTGGTCACCTGAATTGGATTAAAAAAAAAAAAGATAAAATTTCTCTAAGTTATAGCATTACTTATGACATATAATAGATATCTTAATTTAAGAGCCACAGATTTATTATATTAGCTAAGATTTCACTTGCCTTCTTTTAGAAAAGTATTTGCTTCTTACACCAGATCCTATGTGGGGAGTTATAGTCCAAGAACTTAAATCTCTGGACAACAACTATTATTACTGTTATAAAATACAATTGCACTGAGAGACTTAGGTGTCCAGGAAATAAGAAATTAAAGACCTTGACACAAACCAGCTGCTGTTTGAGTTTCCTCATTGCTCTGCTAATGACCTTTGATTCTGAACCACCATCAGTTTGTTGGTTCAGTCATTTGACTCCAAACTTACTATAGTATAGTGCTTCTTTATAAGTATGCTGGTGGTATATTCACCCTGTCATCCCTTCTCTTATTGCAATGCTGTAAATCTTTGAATAATCACCATAATGACCATGATAATCACAAGCCATACTTATGTTACAAATGAGGAAACTGTTGCACAGAGAGATTAGGAAACTTGCCCAAAGTCATAGCTAATAAGTGGCAGAGCCAGGATTCTCACCCCAGTAGTCTAGCTCCATAGTACACACTCTTAACCTCTGCATTATACTATCTCCTCTGACAAAATGATGATGCATTCTAATGGAAGAAAAAATTAAAATTAAGAAGAAAGATTCACTCACCAATGCTAACATTTGGGATATTAAATTTCTGAGCCCAAATCTCTAAGGAGGGCATTGAGTATGTTAACTCACATCTCTTGATCTTTTGAGAGCCTTGGTACCTTGTTATATGAAAAAGCCCTAAGGACCTGAGTACTCTGAAACAGAGAATGTTCTAGAGACACTCACTTTTCATTGCATATGCCATTCCCATTCATTGCAAGCTAATCAGCTTTGTTTGTTTCATCTCTGCACTGAAATAAGGGAGAGAAGCATTACTCTACCTAAGGTCTTGGCTACGTCCAAGTCCTGCTGCATGTATCCAGTGCTCTTCTCTGTGTTTCCAAGAGACCAGTAAGCACTGCTCAGGGCAGAGAAAACAGAACCTCTCAGTTTGAGGCTGCAGGTGCCAATCTTCAGAGCGGCTTCTAAGACAACCACAGAGGCCCCGTGATGGCCGGCTGTCAGGAGTTCCTGCCCAACCACAGATACGACCACAAAGGGACTCTTGTCCAGTTTCATTTTCTGAAGCTGTTGGTAAGTGGGCTCGAGGGAGTCTGAAAACAAACAACAAAATAGCTGGAGAATATAGGATGATACACCAAACAAGCTTTTCCAATATGCTCTAGAAACAAATGTTTATCATACCTTTTGATGGCCTCTTTCAAGTATAAACTCTTCAACCTTTAAGCTAGCACCCACCCTAACTGTCCACTTACCACAAAAGACTAGTATCACCAACCCCAGTCCAGCAATTTCCTTCTCATTCCTGTATGCATATGTCATTCTGTTTTCTCATCTCTTTTTTACCATGATGCACCATACCAACTGGATGGTTCCCCTCCTCTGTCCTGCCCCCCCCTCAAAATATTACAAGCACATCCCTCAAGTCCCACCTGTACGGGATAATATCCCTACATCCTCCAGCATATATTAATCTCTGTATTCAAACTTGTGCTGCATTTTTTACAGTTAGTATTGCACAGTTAGGCCATTAACGATTTTAGTCTGCATGTTGTTAATTTTAAAAATATTTTCTCAACTAAATCTAAAGACTGCTGTAGGACTGTTTAATACTTTAACTCCATAGCAAGTAGCACAATGTGGGCATTTAACAGAAAACTCACCATTGCCACATAGATGAAAGTCCCTAATATGTCTGGCATTTGATAAATTTGAATGACTGATTAATAAACCCTGTCCATGTTTTCTCCTAGAAGATGCAATAAAGGAACCTCCCAATAAAATATCTGTCGTTTTCACTGGTAACCCAGTGTCTACTGCTGCTTCTGAGACCAGTATGCCCAAATAAAAAAATTATCAATTTTTTTGTGGTCACAAATGAAACCATAAAGAAATAATCTGAGTTTACTAAGGTAAGATGGAAGGTAAAATTAATGCTGATTTCATTTTATTTTCATGTGGTATTTAAAGGACATAAATTAGGGGTCAATAAGCCACAAGGAGATTCTTTCCATTCATTTCGATTCTAGGTTTGAATGTAGATGACCTCGAAGCTTTTTCTCCCTATTCTCCCTTCCTTTTTCTTTGAAGATTACTGCAGAGCTATTAACTATAGCCCTACAATGAGATGGCACTTATAAGGCATTTATTGTTAGCTTTCTTGAAAAGCCATTTCACATTAGTTTTTCCATGATGCACATGTTAAAAAAAAAAAAAAAAAAAACCTATAAAAGGATTGGTCTCTTTAAAATCTTGAATCTCCTCACCAACAGTACTGCATTAAAATGTAATTTTTGCGATTTATGACTTTGAATCTAAACTCTCCACTAAAAAGCTCTCGCCTGAATCAACATTACCACGGAAACCTTGAAACCTACTGGTGCCTAAAGCATTTTTCCCTTCAATCAGATCACTAAACAGAGAACAAAGAACATTTTTACACCTGTCAAGATGCAAGCAGTGCACAGTACCAGTAAACACTAGCTAACCAATAGGGCTAAATACAGGCACAAGCACCCAGGAATTGCTACAATAGAAAAGAACAATACCATACTGAAACACTGAGCTGAATTCTGGTTGTGTCTGCTGATGAGTTTGGCAGCCGATGGTGATCACATCAGCATCCCGCTGGCCAATTAGCAGAAACGAAAATAATAGAACTTTAGTGCTGAAAAGACTTTGAAAATATCCTCATTTTAGAAATGAAGAATCTGAGTATTTAACTGATTCACCCAGGGTAAGACAGCTTGGGACACAGCCAAGGCAAGAATCCACTGCAGGGCTCTAAATCCAGGCTCTATGATACCCTATATCAGGCAAGATTATTGGTTGCTAGCAAGAGAATCAAATCTTGGCTGATTTTAAGTAGAAAAGAAATGCACTGGGAGTGACTACTGAGAAGGGTGATAAACCAGGCTTCAAAACTCACAGACAAAATCATGCCACAAAAGCTGCCTGGTGAATGTAACATAACCATTTCACAGCTTGCAATTCACTACTACTGAATGCCACCCTCAGAAAACAGATGTCAGCGTTGCTACCTCCACCACCAGAACAATTTCTGTGCTATATTTTCCTCTTTGAACCTTTAGCTTCTGATTCAAAGGTGGAGTGCCAGCTCCAAAGGAGGATGAGAAAATTAGGATCTGATGTTTTCAGCTTTTACAGTGGAATGCAGGAAGTAGAAGTGTAAGATGGGGAATTCCCTAAGCAGAAAAAGGGTTCAGACATTGACAGATCAAAATGATTGGTGGCCAGCAAAGATACTACGTTTCAGTTGGTGATATTTTTTTCCCATAGCAACCATGGCTAAATTAGGAAAAGAGCCATCTAATTGGGCCTCTAAAATTATACAACAATAGGCTAGGTGTGGTGGCTCATGCCTGTAATCCATGTGCTTTGGGAGGCTGAGGCAGGAGGATCGCTTGAGGCCAGGAGTTTGAGATCAGCCTGGACAACATAGGGTGACCCTGTCTCTACAGAAAATAAAAAAATTAGCCAATATGATGATACAGGGCCTGCAGTCCTAGCTACTTGGAAGGCTGAGGCAGGAGGATTGCTTGAGCCCAGGAGTTGAAGGCTGCCGTGAGCGACGTACCATTGAGCTGGAGCCTGGGTGACAGAGTGAGACCCTGTCTCAAAAAATAAATAAAACTATACAATGATAGTAGAAAGAAGAGAGAACATTGCCACAGGTGGAGGACTGAAAGAAATATCTGGGATATTCCCAAAAGAAAAAGAAATCTTTAATTGTGCAAATTTTCACTAGATGAAAATGAAATTGAAGAAATGAGAAGTAGAAGATAAAATTTCCATTTGCAGTATATAAGAAAATATGAATACATTAAAAGGTAAGTTATAATGCAAAGATGAATATAAACCTAATATACATGTTGTAAGAGTATGGAAAGGGGAGTGATGATCAAAGGCAATTAGAAATCTTCATGGAAACAGAACTTCATTTCTTTTGTGTGTGTGTGCGCTCACAGCAACCTCAAACTCCCGGGCTGAAGTGATCCTCCTGCCTCAGCCTCCTGAGTAAGTGGGACTCCAAGCATGTGCCACCATGCTTGGTTAATTTTTCCATTTTTTTCGTAGAGGTAGGGTCTCACTCTTGGCTCAGGCTACTCTCAAACTCCTGGCCTCAAGCAATCCCTCCGCCTTGGCATTCCAAAGTGCTAGGATTATAGATGTAAGCCACTGTGTTTGGCCAGAACTTAATTTCTTGAAGAAAGGTGGGACTTAGATAAGTCTTTGCTTTTCTCTGAGAGTGGAAGGTATTTTATGCAGAAGGTTTGTCCTGAACAAAGGTACCAGAAGAAGATAGGTACATAGAATGACAGGGAATGCTAAACAGGCCAGCTTGAACTGACCAGAGAGTATTTGTAGGGGAGGAAGCTAAGGTGGAATAATGCAGAAAACACTGAGGTATAGATAAAGAGAACTATATTTCAAAGCCACACAGCTTCAGTCTCTCACTTTGTTAAATGTATAGGCTATAATTGTGGTGACTGTTACACAAATCTATACATATACTTATATATGTATAAATTTATATACATGTATATAAATAAATATATACTCATGAACATATATGTACATATATACATGTACATCAGTGTATATGTACAAATATATATACAGAAAGTCAATTTTGGCCGGGCGCGGTGGCTCACGCCTGTAATCCTAGCTCTCTGGGAGGCCGAGGCAGGCGGATTGCTCAAGGTCAGGAGATCAAAACCAGCCTGAGCAAGAGCGAGACCCCGTCTCTACTATAAATAGAAATAAATTAATTGGCCAACTGATATGTATATAAAAAATTAGCCGGGCATGGTGGCGCATGCCTGTAGTCCCAGCTACCCGGGAGGCTGAGGCAGAAGGATCACTCGAGCCCAGGAGTTTGAGGTTGCTGTGAGCTAGGCTGATGCCACGGCACTCACTCTAGCCTGGGCAACAAAGCGAGACTCTGTCTCAAAAAAAAAAAAAAAAAAAAGTCAATTTTACTGTACATAAATTTTAAAATTTTTAATCTCAAATTTCTTTGCTTTTGGCTATGTCTCACTGGCCCAAGCCCACTAATCAGAAGCTCTCCCTAGCAAATGAACATGCTTTTCATAAATAAAAATGGTGACAGACTTTTCTTTTCTTTTTTTTTCTTTCAAAATAGTAAGGGGGCACAAACATTTTAGTTGCATGGATCACTTTTATAATGTTTGAGTCATGGCTATAAGTGTGCCCATCATCCAGATAGTGTTCGTTGTACACATTAGGTAGGTTTTTGCCCCTCCTCTGCTCTCCCTCCCCCCTGCTTAATTTCCACTGTGTTCGACTTCCCTCTATGCACATGTGTGCTCATTGGTTAATTCCAATTTAATAATGACTAGATGTGGTATTTGTTTTTCTAATAATGACTACACATGGTATTTGTTTTTCTAATCTTGAGATACTTCACTTAGAAGAATGGTCACCAGTTCCATCCAAATTGTTGCAAAAGGCATTGATTCATCCTTTTTTTTATGGCTGAGCAGTACTCCATGGTACACATATGCCACATTTTATTAATACATTAACTGCCATGATAGTTGTATTTAACTCACTCTAGTTTTGACCCCAGGACCAAATGAAGCATATATAAAATCTTGTTGATGTTCTTATTGTTATAATTAATATAAACAACTTAATTCTAAAAACATGGATTAAATGAATAAAACTCAATGAATTTCATTTTTCTATTTATGTTTACCTTGAAATTATACTCAAAGTTTTTATTCTATTCTCGTAATAAAACACTGTGGCCCCAATGAAAAGTTTCTGATTTTTTTGTATGGGAGTCAATGTGTTAATGCATTCATGAATTGGTATGTACTTGGGCTGATTCCACATCTTTGAAACTGTGAATTGTGCTGCAATAAACATTTGAGTGCAGGTGTCTTTTTGACAGAAAGACCTCTTTTCCTTTGGGTAGATACCCAGTAATGAGATTGCTGGATCAAATGGTAAGTCTCCTTTTAGTTCTTTGAGGAATCTCCATACTGTTTTCCATAGAGGTTGTACTAATATGCAGTCCCACCAACAGTGTATAAGCGTACCTTTC